TCTTCCAGATTTCGTCAAACATCCTCAAAGCGGCGATTTCAACAAGTTTGTTGAGCCTGGTGCCGTTTTACCTCGGGCTAGAGTAAAATGATGGTAATAATTACTTAAATAAAAACATTGTACTCCTATTTTGAATTCTCATTTCTTTGGAAAATACTCTTACTTATGCCAAAGTAAATTAGTAGTTACTCCTACAGTCCTACATTTTAGGGAATAAGAACACAAGACTCCTATTTTGGAAAACGTTTTTACTCTTATTTTGAAAATTCTCCCCTTTTAATCTTATTTTTAGAGTGACAATCAATTGAAATATACCTTGAAACTTGTCAAGAGCTTTAATCTCAAAGAGGAAGAGAGCATCTGAAACCTAAACTTATTTTTGAACAGAGAAATAATACACCTAGAAGATGTTATTATCTTCATCATTATATATATAAGCATTTAAATAAATTTCCAATTATTGTGTTTAATCTATTGAGCATATACTTAGTTTCTAACGTTTTTTACGTGCAGCTATGAAGATACTACTTCAACCTAGATGCTTTGTATCTTTACTTCGGATAGCTTCATCAACTGCACTTCCAGTTCAGGGAAGCTTGATGAACACTTGATCAGTACTTTAGTAACTTTTATGACACCATCTAAATTATTATAGCCAAGATGCATTGTTATGATATACCGAAGTAGTTTTATTTCAGCCGTTAGTCAGCTCTTAAATTTGATCCAGAGTATTACTAATGTAAATAATGCTACATAAACTTTATTGAGCAGCTGTCTGGCTTGGGTAAATTGAAAGCCATTGTTAAAGCTTTTCTGGATACTCTGTTTTAAAGTATACCATGTGTTGGCTATTTTACACCAAAGAGTCGCCCAAGTAATTATTTTTACTATTTTACCACATATCCAGAATCTGGATTGGCAAAAACGATTACCTTGTTGAGTGGGCTATGTGAATCAAAAAAGACGAGAACTTATAATTGGATGGTAATATGAAAAGTAATTCTGGATTGGCATGTAAAATTGGATGGTTTCTATATCTTGATAGTTATTAGTAGGGGTGGTTCGGTACGGTATACCTTATATTTTTTCTCATACCTTTGCCATACCAAAACTTTCGGTATGCAAAATTTGCATACCTTTACCTTACCGAAGTTTCGGTATACCGCATTTCGGTATACCGAAGTTTCGGTTCGGTAATGGTACGGTATCGGTAAATTACCGTGCATGTCTCCCAATACAAAAAATTATCATTGACTAACGAAATATACTAAATTGTTATTACTAGCGACAAATTAAATCTATTATTAAAATGTTACGAAATACAATTAATAATCTATTGATGTCAATTCAATATTGAAGAATAACTATTATTAGTATATTTAAGCAGTTCAACATGCCACATATTAAAAAGTTACACATTCTCCTAAAATAACTTAAACAATATAGATATAATTAAATCAATAGTGATCTCTAACAAAAAAAATAAAACTATTCAAACAACATGGATATAAAATCATTTATTCCTAATATGATATTGTGTATTCGGTCATTTTTATAATTTTTTAAAAATTGAATAAGACTTTCGGACAAAGTTGTGTGTTTCGACTCGTGGAATCCCTATGTAAATACACTTGTCACATAAGTGTATCTCTCTTCACTCGTCAGCTACTTAGCGGCTCAGCCATCACGACTTGCAAGCTCTTGGAACAGGATGGACTTGTTTCTTGACATTTGTACATTACTCATTAGTCATTAAGGTTAGCGTAGTAGAAGCCTATAAGGTTATAGTGGATTTGAGGAATTGGACCTTTATTTTTGTATTTTTGTATTTGTAACCAACTTGAGTATTAATTTTGGGCTTTAAAATTGTAATGGATTTCTACAATATATTAGAATTAAAAGTAATTGTTGAGTAGAGAGTCGGTACGGTATTATACCGGTATACCGCGGTATTTGAAAACATTTACCGTTACCGTACCGAAATAGATCGGTACGGTAAGATACCGTACCGAAAATGACGGTATACCAATATTTCGGTATTTTCCGGTATTTTTCGGTACGGTAAGTGCGGTATACCGATATTTCGGTATTTTTGCCCACCCCTAGTTATTAGCTTAATGTAGGATTAGCTTTGAGTGAAAACGTCAAATACTGTAATATTTTACTATTACAGTACTGTAGTAGTTAACTTCAAAAAGTGATTGAATTATTGGGAAATAGCGGTATTCTAAAAATCACAAAATTGTTTTGCTCTCATCAAAACTCAGTCAATGAAGACTAATCGCTCAACCTGGAGATATTTTAGAGATGTTAGCATGGCATTGTTAAAACTCACATCAAGACAACCTAAATAAACCAGCAAAAAAATTCAACCATACATTACTACTATGTCAATAACATACTGCATACACTCCAATAACAAAGGAAATCACTATTAAAATTAATCATTAAGAGAGGGATCAAAGTTTGAAAATGATAAAAGAAAACATGAGAAGCTTGTACATATAGCCCAGTGCATATTAGCGCCTTCCCTATAAAGAAGGTCCGAAACGGGGTTCACCACCAGTTAGTGTATATATAGGAGCTGCCTTCCCTATAAATTAAGTTGTGCTATCAAATGCATATTTCTAGACATTAATTTCCCTCTTTTCCAGCTTGAAAATCATTTAATTTTTTACAAACGACATCACCGTAGAGAAATACTCAAAGTTTACCAAATACAAACAAAAAAAACACTGAGTTTATACCCCAAAACCCTAAAACAATAATACAAAATTTACCCGCACGGGTAGCTCAGTTAGTCGAGTGGTGGGAAATTTGGAACAATGATCAAGGTTCGAATCCCCACAGCGACCGGGTGGAGGTCATAGAACCTGAAATAAGGTTGGGCCTCTGGTGCGCACGGGTGTATGGGCTTACTGCCACTCTACTGACTGAGTCATCGTGACTTACATCCTCCCAAAAGTCCTGTCGGGTCGGGACGTGGGGGGCGCTTGGGGTTGGCGATTCAACCTTTTGGAACAATAATACAAAATTTGTGTGGGTATTAGGTTTATTGTAATGTGGAGATCTTAGCAAAAAGCCGTCGGGTATTAGTTTTATTGTAATGTGGAGATCTTCGCAAAATTTGTCATGTCGGGTTGTACCCTAAACCCGTTCGGGTTTTTAATACAAATAATACGCCCGACCCTTTGATATTTCAAATCGGGTATTTTGGACATTTTTAAGTCGAATATTATCGCATAGCCCACTTTTGTTTGCCACATGTCATTTGTGTTCTAGATACTTTTCTTTTCATTTTTAACCTTTCCTTTTTTTTTCAATTATGTTTTTTATTTCAATTTTAGATTATCCTTCTACCGCCTCCTCATAAGTATGTAGTATAATAATACGTAATGAGTGTTTGCAACCGATTAAAAAAAAACGTTTTTCTCTAATTTTGACTTGAAAAGGTAGAGTTAGTATTTTCAAGTGACAACTTCTAATTAAAAAAACATTTCTCAGCTTTTGGCTGAAAAGTGCTTTTTGTTTTTTCCATTACACAAAAAGCAAATGTTTTACCAAACACTTTCAACCTTTACTATTAATCCTTTTTTCTATAATCACTTCAAAAAGTGTTTTTTTTAAAATAGAAGCATTTTCAAACACTCCTGCAGTATATCCCCAGATGCACAACAGATTTTCGATTTCGCTTCTCGTTACTGTACTGGTAAAACAATTTGGGAGAATTGTGGGAAGGTCTGCATAGCTAACCGTAGGGCTGGGCAAGGGCCAGGTCGGGGCGGGTAATGCAAAATAAAATGGAACCGCTGGTTCCATTGTACGGTTCGGTCCGGTCCGGGTATTGCAAATTTCAAAATAGGAACCGGACCTTACCCGACCTGTTTGAAATGGATCGGTCCGATCCGGGTTTTACGGTTTCTATTCTCATGTCTTAAAATTAGTAAAAACTCACGAAGTTCCAAAAATCAATAATCAATAATCAATAATACAAGACATTAACAAGTTTCAAAATAACAACATAGTGATGCACATGTAACACAAGCGACAAGTCCAATACTTCATAATTTCATGTATATAAGTTTCAAACAATTAAAGAAATTCCAAAAATATGCAACATAGCCAAAATACATATTTTATAACATTTGTATTTAAACATGTTATCTAACATCACATATTAAGGTGATTGCTTTTTTTTTTCAATTAAATTTTCAGTATTAGCCAAAGTTGACACATACATGGTGGGTGGTAAACACAATTTATATATTTTAAGAACAATATTATAAAAAAATATAACAAAATCATTTTTAACAAATAATTAAATTCCATAGAAAGGAATAATTCAATAACAATAAAAAGTAATAAGATATTTATGAAAAATTTAATCAATAATTTGAAAACAAAATGATGTTACTACAACTCAATTTAAAATCCTACTTCTAGCAAAGGAAACAAAACTATTTCAAAACTGATTATAACAGAACTATTAATAAATTAACTAGTGTGGGTAGGGATGGACCCGGGCCAGGCCGGGCCCGGGCGGGCTTTTTTTTTCAATTACATGGGCCCGGAATCGGCCCGGGTTGATACCGGGTCCGGGCCTAACCGGGCCGGGCCAGGCCCGGTCCAATTTTTAATTTTTTTTTTTCTTTCTTGTTATCCCCCGACCCCCCCCCCCCTCACCCCCACCCCCAAACCTCCCCAAAACACCCAGCCCTACCCTAGGAAAAGAAAAAAATTGGAACAAAAAAAAAATTGAACCGGGCCCGGCCCGAACCGCCCGGGCTGGTTCAACAAAAATAGGCCCCGAGCCCGGCCCGCCCGACCCGCCCACACGGGCCAAAAGCCCGGAACCGGCCAACCGGGCCCGGTCCGGTCCGGGCCCGCACAGTAGCGGGCCGGTCTGGTTCCGGGCCGGTTCGGCCCGGCCCAATCCACCCCTGAGCGTGGGCGGGCGCGTTGCGCGGCGGTTGTGCCCAATGTTGGGGAAAACATCGTATAAGATGCGCAAATACATCACAAAAGCGGCAAAAAAGGCAGTTCAATGTTGTCCATTACAAAAGCATGGTCAGTTAACACTTCAATTCGAATGTTTGGGTTAGAAAGATCAAACAAAACATCACAGCAACAGAGCGAGGGCACAACAACGTGGTGCGAGATCAAGAAGGGCCAACAGCATCATTGCAGGCAGCCATACTTATCTATCTCATATGTATTGGTTTGACTTGGCAGCTCCTCTACACCACATGATTAAGGGAGTGTTTGCAATTGCTTAAAAAAAGCACTTTTCAGTTTTTGGCTTAAAAAAGCACTTATTTACCAAACACTTCCAATTTTTACTTTTTCTCGGCTTGCGTGTGAAAAGTGCTTTTCCCTTTTCTATTACACAAAAAGCACTTATTTTACCAAACACTACCAACTTTTACTTTTCAAAATCACTTTTTTCTCAAACACTATCAACTTTTACTACTAATCACTTTTTCATTACATCTCCAAAAGTGCTTTTTTTTTAAGCAGAAGCAGTTGCAAACACTCCCTAATAATATATGCTTAAATTCTGCTCTGCAATAACAAGTTTGATATGTTCAAGAACATAAAGTCAGAAACTACCTGAAAGTTAAACCTTCAGAATAGTCGAATAGAATTCACAATATGCCAATTTAATTGATGTAATGAAAAGTAGAACTTTTCTGCGGGATAGAACTTTCAGATTAATAAAATATGGTTGCGGGATAGAACTTTCAGATTTCAGCCACTAAGTAATACTCCCTCCGTCCCCTGTTATTGTCCCGTTTCCTATTCACCTGGTTAACACAAATCACTCTTAATCTCTTACTTTATGTTTCAAATTTTTATCAAATTTGATTCAGTTATTTGCGACTCTGTAAAGCTTTTAATGTAGTTTCTGAATATGTAATTTTTTTTTCAAAAAATAATTTGAGTGCGGACAGGGATCTGTTTGCTTTATCGTCGGTCAAGCATCGTAAACCGCAATGGGACAAAAACTTTCCGGAGTTGTGCCATGTCAAACTAAATCTTGGAACATTTATAAATGTGGAATGAATAAAAAGAAAAGAAAACATTTAGTCTTGAAGGAAAGAAAACTTAGAATAGAGAGAGTACCTAGCGGTGAGAATCGATTGACATATAGAACTATTCGATCTTCTGTGACAAAAGCGAACAAAAGTAGTTAGATTATATAAGGAACTCATGTGGCAAAGCACATTAGTAAAAATGAATGAAAATGTATTCTGAAGCTTTTATATTGAAGCAATGATGCAAAGAATTAAGAATAGACTGCTTACCTGCAATTTACATGAGAAAGTTGGAGGATTGAATTCTTAGCATCCTGCAAATAAACACAAAAATATCCAAATAAAGTCTGAATGAAGTTCACATGAAACGATTGAATTTGAAAAAATTGAAAAAGTGTGATGATTCAGTTTCAAGAGCGAGACTGAAAACCACTTTGAAAAAATTCATAAAATTAAATTAACTGGTCATTCTTTCTCACCTTCTCATTCTCACCCTGCATAATATGATAATAAAAAATTAAAAAATATTACATTAAATGAAGAATTTGACTGCTCAGATAATTTCTGATGAAGGAGACAGGTCAGAAATCGACGCTCCCTTGCCGATTTAGTTTGACATGGCACAACTCCGGAAAATGGCTACTCTACAGATATTAGAGGATCTAAATCTGGATTTCATCTTACAAGAAGGAAACCGAAAAAGCCTTTGAATCTACCGGAAGGTTTGACGAGAAATTAGGGTCGTTGATGTCCGAGAAGGGTCGTTGATGGCCGCTGCATACAAGGGCTTCCTTCAGCGCCAACGGTCTCATGGCCCTCCGCCGGCGGCATTCAAGCATTGGGTGAGACCGTGAGAAGCTAGATCCGGCGAATTAAGAGAGAAGGTAGAGCGTCTGACCACGATTGGCAAAGCAACGAAAGAGCGAAATGATAGACATATTACCTCACTCGAAGAAGCCTATCCACACACTGTAACAGAAGCAAACAGGAACAAACAGGAGCGAGCATTCTTCCCAGCCACATGAAAAATCGGAACAGAGGGAAGAAGACGGTAACATGGCATTACTTTTCCTCAACGCTGAAATGAAGTTTCCGTCCATTACTATTCTAACGGAATAGGCCCAACTAACATTCATTCACCCTTTATATATATAGTAAGATATACAATATATGACAAATGTTCAGGTCAGGAGCTCCTGACCGGAACCGCCGTCCGGACCAAGGCGTTTGGCCGCCTTCCCGGCGGCTTTTTTTGATGAAATTTTTATGACATGTTCTCCATCAAGTCTAGTTTATCCACAAAAAAATTCAGCCAAAAACTAAACCGGGAAGGTCGTCAAATGATTTTTGCAAGTTAACTGGTCCGGAATATGTATTTTCCGGACCAGTTAACTTGCAAAAATCATTTGACGACCTTCCCGGATGATTTTTTGGCTGAATTGTTTTGTGGATAAACTAGACTTGATGGAGAATATGTCATAAAAATTTCATCAAAAAAAGCCACCGGGAAGGCGGCCAAACGCCTTGGTCCGGACGGCGGTTCCGGTCAGGAACTCCTGACCGGATCATTACTCTACAATATATATATATATATATATATATATATATATATATATATATATATATATATATATATATATATATATATATGTTAAAAAATAACGGGTACCCGGCCCGGGCCATTATATATATACATATACATACATATACATACATATATATATATATATGTATGTATGTATGTATATGTATATATATATAATGGGCCGGGCCGGGTACCCGTTATTTTTTAATTTTGGAACAGGTCCGGTTCTTAAAAAAATACCCGACCCTACCCGGACAATTTTATGGCAACAAAAATGGAACTGGACCGTTTTGGACCTGAACCGCCATTACCCCGGACCGGACCGCGGTTCAAAGACCGTTTGCCCACCCCTAGCTAACCGTTAACGACGAGTTCCAACTCTCTTCTCAGGGAAGGGGATTCCATGGCTGAGATTGAGCATAGCTAATGGAATTATGCTCAGGTTCCTTGTACAAGCATCGTCAGACAGTCAGGTGATCGGTCCGGTGGTCTCCAGGCTGAAAATAAGAAGCGAAGTCTTCCAAGTGTTTGTGATGCAAATCAAAGAGTTGATATTCCTCATCGTTTAGGCGAGAGCTTTCTCGATGCAGAACTGAGTGGGCAAGGGACGAACTTGTAGAGCTAAGCAGACTCACCGTTTTGACACTGTAGCGCACACAATTTTTTGATTTGGTTACACGGCATAGGAAATGAATCTAGCATGTGACATCGGAAGACGCACTTAGCGGTAATCACAATTAGGGTTGGGCACGGTCCGGTCCGGTCCAATATTTGGCTGAACCCGTACCCGTACCGTTACTATTGAAATGGTTCGGTTCGATCTTAGACCCTAAACCCGTTCGGTACGGTCCATTTTCAAACGGTACGGTACCATGTCATACCAATGCCAAATAATGTCACTTTTTCCAAGTGTTTAAGGAAAAATTAAAGTTTAGGCATTCTCCAAAAATCCACACAATTTAAAAATTTTCATATTTCATACTACCTCTGTTCCAAAATTATTTGCAAAGTCAATCTTTTTTTGGTCAAATGGTTTCTTTTTGTTCATTTAATTAGGATTTCACTTTTTAATTATATTCTAATTTGGTCTTTGAGAAAAAAGTACTTCGCATATTCTAATTTGGATTTTGCAACTTTCCAAGTATTTTAATGTGGTTTCTAAATATGTAAATTTTAATTATTAAAAATTGTACGGATTATTAATTATCATTAGGGAGGACTTAACATTAACATTGATCTGAAACTGTTGACTTTTCAAATCAATTTGGGATGGATGAGCTAATTGATAAATTTTAGATGAACTATAATAGTACAAATTTAAATAATTCTAAATAAACTATAATTTTAGATAAACTATAATACTTCGGTCCGGTTCGGTCCGGTTCCGGTTCTCATTTTATGAGAACCCCGTCATGACATTGTTTGGAACCGGTACGGTTCAGTTCGGGACAAAAAAAATTTGAGATCCGTTTCGAACCCTGTTTGTAGGTCCGGTACCATACCGGTCCTGTTCGGTACCATGCCGGTTCGGTATTTTTGCCCACCCCTAATCAATATTGGCCAGGGCGGTACTCATTCAGGTTGACATTTATAGACATGTATTAATTAATTTTTGAAAACATTTATTTCATATTCTACTAAATTATGTCATTAGGCTGTTTAGAATAATAATTGTTTGGACATTTGCGGCATGTATTTAGTGATTTTTGTGAATGGAAGAGCGGTATGATCAGGGGCGGAATAACAAAAATTGTCATTTATAAAATTGAAATGCTAATTCAAAATTGTGCACGTAGCATTTTCATATTTTAAAAACGTTTATACATTTTTTCTATCAAGTGTCGATCAACTGATTCAAACTTAAAAGAAAGAAGACTATAACACCTTGTCTAATATAGTAATATTCATAATAAAGTATTGCCTTTCTCATTTTACATGTCTTAACAATTTTTTGGATTATCCCAAAATAGGTGTCATGTTTTTCTTTTAAAAAGAAATATGTGATCTACAACATTTCAATTTATTTTACTCAAACTTGATTAACATTTTCAATCACTTTATTACAATTATGTCAAACCAAAACAAGACATATAAATTGGGATGAAGGTAGTAGTAATAAGTAAACTGTACACTTTTCAATTATTTTTAAGTTAATGTTCCAACTTTTGAATATATACACTAACCTCCATTTTTTAAATGATTGTGTCAATTTTTAATTTTTGAAAGATTATAGATTTATACTCCGTATATAGTTTTTTTTTAAATTCTCTAATTAGGACTAAAACATAGATAAAATCTATAAACAAGAATATCAATGTTTTATTACCAAAATAAGACTCATCCGTTCCTATTTTTGGAAGTTTTAATCATGTTATTCTTTTGATAGAACTAAATAAGCTCTGTTAGGAGAATAAAACACAATAATTCTTATTTGTTTTACTTTGTGTATGTTTAAGTCTTATATTAAACAATTTCTATTTTTTTCAGTGGTGTCAATTTTAAAATTTTGAAATATTATATATACCTATATATGAAGAAAAAAAGTTGAGTGGTGTCAATTTACACCACAACTCATAGTGTGGCTCGGTCACTTTGTATGGTGTGCCTCCATTAATGGACATGTCAGTTTTCATGTTATGATGATGAGATACTTACTTTAGAGGTTGAAGATACTAGTACTCCCTCCGTCCCTATTATATCTTCCAAATAGGTTTGGTACAGAGTTTAAGATAGTGGGTATTGTGTGGTGGAGAGTTGTGCAGAGGAGAGAGAAATGTGTAAGAATTGCTGTGAACCATAAATTCTGGCCAAAAAAGGAAAGTGGAAGTTTTAATTGGGACAGACGAAAAAGGAAAGTTGGAAATTTATTTAGGGACGGAGGGAGTATTTGATAACTACTTCAATTTAGTCTCTATATAATAGAACATGCATACCCAGTAGATACATTTACAGAGCAACATACGTGAGTAATCATCATCATCATCATCTTTAAATTGACAATAATAATAAAGTTACCTGATAAATTAAAGTAAAAATATGCATATACGTAGATATAGTGGACGTATATAAATAAAAATAAAAATAAAATAAAAATAATAAGCACGTTCGAACGGCTTAAAATTTATAAAGTTCAAGACCAGAATGTATACTGTAATTATTTTGTCAATATAATGAAAAGAAAATAATTAAGATAACTTGAAATTTACGGTACATGTAAATGTACGTAATGTATTACAGTATATATATAGCTCGCATTATTTGAGTTGTATGTCCTAATTGTTATTTACGGTACATATTTAATAAGCCACTTCTGTTAGATAAAATCTTATGTTTGAGAATCATTGACAAATGTGAATATTTATTTGAAATTAAAATAAAAGATAAGTACGATTATGAGAATAAAGCCTTGCTCTTGATCCGGTACTCTGACGTGAATACTCCTATTCTGTTTAGTGTACTAGTACACTCCTCAAATTCTGTTTAGAGGAATTATTAGTGCTTTCCTGTTTAGTGTGCTACGTACACTCCTGAAATATTTTTAGAGCACTATTACTCTCCTATTAAGGTTCGGGTCTCCTCGGTGATCTCGTCCTTTCTGTTCAGCTAGCTCCTGTTAAGGATTGGTGCGTGTAGCTCCGGCGATTACGTTTCCACATCCTTCTTGGGTAATGTGAGTATGGACTTTGCGACCATATTCCTTACCGTTAGTATTCCTCTGTCTAGGTCCAGTTTCTTGAGTGCAAGGCAAAATGAACATATTTTGCTTATTAATGATAAATCTCAGAATAAAGATTATCTGATAATTATGATCTCTCAATATGTTTCTGTTATGTACATAATAATAATAATAATAATAATAATAATAATAATAATAATAATAATAATAATAATAATAATAATAATTCCAGAATAAGAATTGAATTATCTGATATTTATAATATCTAAATATTTTTATGTTCTGTATATAAATATTTGAATTTTTTTATATAGCTGCTCGGACCATCCAGGTATGTTACATGTTTGCCTGACCAGATGTGAATTTTGATATGTTTATATGCGCCATGATATGTTAGTATTATTGTTATTATCGTACCACTCAGCACATTGCTGAGCGGGTAGTTATTTGTTTTCCTACCCGTAGGTTAAACATGGAATCTGCTCAGAGCACCAGATGGAAGGAGGCGTAGGACGCATTTGCATATCATGTTTATTTGATGTTTTTTTTTAGACTTTAAAATGCCATCTTTCACTTTTAAGAACTTCCGCCGTTACTAAAGTTTTCTGTGATGTTTATCTCATGTCTTATTTATTAACAATTCTACTC